CACAACTCCGCGTCAGTGGGCCTCAGCTCTACATGCACAAAATACAAAACTCATCACCGTGTATGTTTCCATGTTCGCAGGGAAGATTCACTCTCGTTTTGCAAATTTCGAGTCCAGCCTCTCTCTCTCTCTCTCTCTCTCTCTCTCTCTCTCTCACGCGCAGGCGCGCCCTTTCAAACTTGACAGAATGAGAAAGAATCTACCCGCGTTTTTGGGGAAGATTTGTTCTCATTTTGCAAATATGGAGCAGCGGCTGCAGCGCGTCTGCCTTTTCTCCCGATGCGCGTTCAGAGAGAGAGAGAGAGAGAGAGAGAGAGAGAGAGAGAGAGAGAGAGAGAGAGAGACTTTCAAACTTGACAGAATGAGAAAGAATCTACCCGCGTTTTTGTGGAAGATTCATTCTCATTTTGCAAATATGGAGCAGCGGCTGCAGCGCATCTGCCTTTTCTCCCGATGCACGTTCACACACACACACACAGAGAGAGAGAGAGAGAGAGAGAGAGAGAGAGAGAGAGAGAGAGAGAGAGAGAGAGAGAGAGAGAGAGAGAGAAAGAAACTCGGCGTGAATCTCTCTCTCTCTCTCTCTCTCTCTCTCTCTCTCTCTCTCCACAACTCTGCGTCAGTCATGGGCAGTGGGCCTCCATCGACATGCACAAAAGACAAAAATCATCACGGTGTATCTTTCCATGTTCGCGCGGAAGACTTAGTCTCATTTTGCAAATTTCACGGGCCTTCTTTGTTTTCGATTTCTTGTTTTTCTGGGCAGAAGAATTGTCGATGTTTTTTTCTCGTTTTTTTTTTTTTTTTTTTAATTACCTACCGGTAGCTTCCGGTTAAAAAAAAAAAAAAAGATGGTAACATCCGGGCATTGCTGTGTGCGTGGCATTGCGCAGGGATCATAAGGCTGCATGCAATGCAGATGGGCTGGGCTTCTCGTTGCAATGCCTCGCCAGTGACGAGGTGGGTGTCTTAACTTTTTTTTTTTTTTTTTTTGTGAGTTGATTGTTTTCCCCCATTATAATGGTGATGTCAACCAAAAAAAAATGCAGTTGTTCTTGTTCTGGGAAGAAGCAATTGGGTTTCGCTCTGTTCGGCAAATTGAAAGATCAAGGTCAGTTTGTTTGGGTCCGGGAAAAAAAAAGAAAAACGACAAATTCAATATAGTGAGAGGCAGACGGTGGGATGAGGAGCAAGGAGCTCACTGTCTTCTTTTTGTCCTTTTTTTTTTGAACTTAAAAAAAAAAGCTGTGATGGACTTTGGAGCCTGGAGCTAACTCAACGGACTGTGAATAAGAATCTCATAATCTTTTTGTTCTTCTTTTTTTTTTAAGTAAAAAAATCTTTGTCCCATTTTCTTGTTTTCTTCTTACTGTTTCCCTACTTGTTCTCATGATCTGTCTCCCTCTTATCTCTCCGTCCGTTGCACGGGCCGTCTTCTGTGTATCACCATTCGATCTGAATGAACGTTGCGAAGGACAGGAATGGGGAAGTGATGCGCATAATCTTTGCATGGCCCTTTTTTTTTTTTGTGTGTGTGTGAGATATATATATATAAAACTCCGACGAAACAGTTTGTCACAGCCCCTCGTTTGTTGTCCTCTTCTGTCTTTCTGCCAACGGTTTACCGGGCGGTTCTGTTTGTGACGATATATATATATATTAAAAAACAAAAAATTTTCAAAACTCAAAAAATTAAAAAACTTTCATAATTCTCTTTAACAAAAACATGTCGTTACCATTACAGATAAATCAGGGGGTTAGTTCATTCGGGACTCTTCCTGTTGGTGGCGCGACAGGCACAGCACCGCTTCCTTCTCTTCGTTCACGGGGCCACAATCCCCCTTTCTCTAACCGGCAACGCGTTGACTGGCTTGCCCATTATCGCTGGAATACTGATTTGTATTCCGCGGGAACGTGGC